ATTACGGTGTTTCTTTTTCAGGTTTTTATTGGAAAAGAGTTGCGTTTGAAACAAGAGTACTTTTTGGTGGCAGCTACATTGCAAGACATTATTCGCCGTTTTAAGTCGAGTAAATATGGTTGTCGAGATCCTGTGAGAGCAAACTTTGATTCATTTGCCGACAAGGTAACCGGCGGTTGTAAACTGTTCTTCAGAAAAAATTGAACTAAGTCTGCTGTGAAAAATAAGTGGTGTCTTTTTAGGTGGCTATTCAATTGAACGACACTCACCCTTCAATTGGTATTCCTGAATTTGTACGTTTGCTTGTGGACATTGAGGGTTAGCACTTTTGCTGTTATCATAATTTTTCCACTTTTTTAGGTTTGGTCTTTTTCATTCTGCCAAGTATACTGTTCTTTTTCAGGCATTTCATTTGATAGAGCCCTTGATATATGCGTGAGGACATTCGCATACACTAACCACACGCTGCTTCCAGAGGCTCTTGAAAGATGGCCTGTTACCCTTTTAGAAAATCTGCTTCCAAGACATCTTGAAATAATTTATGAGATAAACCAGCGTCTCATGGATGTAAGCTCCGCTTTTCTAGAATGTTTGAAGATTTTTTCTACAGGGAACCGTTCGCAAGCTTCTAATGGCTAGGGATACTTTTTCAGCAAGTTTCGGCCAAGTACCCAGGTGATTTTGATCGAATGAGGCGAATGTCTATTGTGGAGGAAGCTGATGGTTACGGAGAAAAACGCATAAATATGGCTCATTTATGCATATTTGGGTCTCATGCAACCAACGGTGTAGCTGCTCTGCACTCAGAGTTATTGAAGTCTAAAACGTATGTTCCATTTATCTTTCAGTTCTAAGTCGTCTTTTTTTTGAGTTTTTTGAACCTTTCACCTGATATTTTAGAGATAAAAAATCAATTTCTTTTTATGATTAGGTGATTACACCATTTCAGCTTCAAAGACTTCTATGAGATGTTCCCTGAACGTTTCCAAAATAAAACAAATGGCATCACTCCACGTCGATGGCTCCTTCTTTCAAATCCTTCTCTAGCTGACGTAATTTGCGAAGTAATGACCAAACTTTTTTTACTTATATAATTTGAATAAGTGCTAGTTTTCATGGCATAAAAAAGTCTCTCTTATAAATTATATCTCAAATAGAAATCTGTAAGAATTATTGCAGCATCATTTAAAGCAGAAACCTGTAGCGCTGCATAAAACTCGTTTTGAGTATCAATTCTGAAAGTTGTTTTTTCTTAAAAGTACATCAGTTCACTAGTGCTTGTTTTATTGCAGAAGATTGGCGATTCTTGGATTACAAATCTGGATTTGCTGCAAAGCCTGAAGCAGTATGCAAACAATGATGTGTTTTTGGATTCCTTGGCGAGAGTTAAACAAGAAAATAAATTAAGAGTAGCACAGTACGTCAGTGAGGAATACAACATTGAAATTAACCCTGCAAGCTTATTCGACATTCATGTATGTTACAAAATTCTTGTCATTTTCTGAGTAGACATTGAAATTCTTTTTCTTTGAGAAATGGATCAGAATTAATGTTTGCCATAGTTTTTTTATTCGACTAGTTTTTCCCATTTCATAATTCTTTAGGTGAAACGCTTGCACGAGTACAAAAGACAGCTATTAAATGCTTTACATGTTATTACACTGTATAATCGAATCAAGGAAAATCCAAACAAAAAATTTGTCCCTCGAACAGTTATTTTCGCTGGAAAGGTATTGTATTTAGCATTTGAATGATTTGAAGACATTCTTTGATCTGTTTTTTATTATATGTTCCAGGCAGCACCTGGTTATTACATGGCGAAGCAGATAATCAAGCTTATAAATACCGTTGCTGAAGTCGTAAACAGGGACCCAATTATTGGAAATCGTCTCAAGGTATAAAAAAGCAGAGGAAATTTTAATCCGCTCCGAAATTTTTGATATTCATTTTGGAGCTTCGTAAAATGGCTGGGTTTTTGGAGTGAAGTAGAGTGGATTTCTAATATTAAAAAGATTATACGTTTGTTTATTTGAATTAAACGAAATTAAAATTTGTATCAGATAAGCCTTCTGAAACATTACAATTGCTGGTCTAATTTAGGTCGTCTTTCTTGAGAATTATCGTGTTTCAATGGCGGAGAAAATTATTCCTGCAGCAGACCTTAGTGAACAGATCTCAACTGCTGGTACGGAAGCATCCGGAACTGGCAATATGAAGTTTATGGTGGGAAGCTGTTTCCAATTTTTCACCTTAGTCTATGATTTCATCTTGTTTATATAACTTTTCCCTGCATGTTCACCTTTTCTTTCGTCTAATCAACTTTTCATTTTCAGCTCAATGGTGGCTTGACTATCGGTACATTGGATGGTGCAAATGTTGAGATGATGGAGGAAATGGGTCGTGAAAATATATTCATATTCGGTATGACAGTGGAAGAAGTTCAAGCCTTGGAAGCCAGAGGGTCTCAACTATATTTTCTTTTTTTTTTCTTTTTTTTCTTACTCCTCATGTCATAAAATGAGGTTTTAGAGTTTTTGGCTACCGAGTACTGTGATACGTTTTTTGACAAGTTTCTTTACTGCTGTTTTGGTAATTTCATAGGTGTTTTAGATATGATCCGGAAGAGTTTATTAACAAAAGCCCTAACCTGAAGAAGATTATTGAACAACTGGAACTAGGATTTTTCTCTCCGGACACACCTAACCTGTTCAAGGATGTGACAGATATGTTGCGTCACCATGATAGGTGAGAGCAGTTTAGCAGTGTCTATTAAATATTTGTTTAATAAATCTTGCACAAAAATTTGCTCTTCATAACCTGGGGACTCCTCGGTTTACTTAATGAGAGGTAGTAAAATATGTGTTGACTTATTATGTATTCTAGCAATTATAACTAATTAGGTTTTGCTTGGATTTTGGCGTTAACCGTTTAGTGATTTTACACAGATACTGTTAACGTTGCAAGTTCAGTAAATGGATAAATTGAACCTTTTAAATTTTGGACTTTTTTCGTATTGCAAGCGATTGTCTCCAATTTTTTTTAAATTTTTGAGGTGAACTAATCTGATGCAACAGCTTTGGGTTTTCAATGCATTAAAACAAATTAGGCTTATGCGTTACAATGTCAATTCCAGATTTATGGTCTGCGCTGACTACGACTCTTACATTGCCTGTCAAGCACAAGTGGAACAAGTATACATGGTCAGTTTAAAAGTCTTGAGATGCACCGCTTTAACAGTTGCTTGAAATTTTTCTAATTACTATGTTTCTTTCACTTTCTTTTATCCGAAGGTATTTAGGATTCGAAAAAGTGGCAGCGAATGGCCTTGATGAATATTGCCAGTTCTGGAAAGTTTAGTACCGATAGAACAATAGCTGAATACGCCCGCCAAATTTGGGGAGTAGAGCCTGGTGAAATTAAGTTAGCAGCTCCTTATGAAAACCCGGACATTCATTTGACAGAAAATGGAGATCATAAGAAAAAGAGTTAAAATTAAAACTGAAATACTCAAATTTTATCTAGTTTTATGGGTTTGAGAGATATATTGCTAATAAAGATATATCATACAATTAACTTTTCTTTATTGCCGTGCCTTTAAAGATTTTAACTTTTACTTAATTTAATTGAGGAAGTGAATGTGAAGCCTGAAACCGTGAAAGGAACGTTTATTTTCAAATTGTTTTAGTTGTTTCGGCGGGGTAGATTTATCGATGATTTTATATTCTTAGATATCGTTGCAAATTTCGAGAGCTTTTGGCCATTTCGTAAAGTGAGCACTTTTTTCCTTGAGAACCTGCGCCATAGTTCTTTTCTAATTTTTTCTTAGTGTATATTTTCTGCGCGCTCGTATGTTGCAAACAGTCGGGTGCACTTAGTAATTTGTGTTTAGTTAGGTTTCAAAACTTGGCTGATATGGATCTTCATGATTGTTAGTTACTCATTTTGCTGAAATAAATCTTTCAGTATCTTTGTAAAAACACATTTAATCGTTGGGTGAGTGGCTATTCCTAGTTCCGTTTTATTGGAATTTTAAAGGCGGGCACGCCGGAATTCGTGGTGGCTAAGGTGATGTCTTTTGGGCTTCTCAGGCTTCGAGGTCATGGATATGAGTCAAGCTCCTCTTAAATTGCTTGGCATTTTCGGAACACTTTCTTCCGCTAGTTTGGTGTTCGGAAGGTTTTCTTGTTGGCAGGACTAGTATTGGTCACGCATGCTCGTATGGCGGCGAGTTTACTAGTCACTCATCAGATAAAGCAGTGTCGGTTTTCATCACACTGCATCTGCGGACTTCTACAGGAAAGTCTAGTAGCCAGATAAAAAATGGTTTCTTTGTCTAGATTCCGCCAAAGTCACCTCTTGGTATGTTAGTCTCATTTTTAACTTTTGTCTTTGTTTGTTCGGACTAGTCCTGTTAGCAGCTCGAGTACTCGTATATGTTAGAAACAGGATTTGTTTCTTGAAGATTGAGAAATCGGTGATTTTGTCAGATTGAAGCCTTTCAGCGCTGATTCATTCAGCACTTCAGCGTTACAAAAACCCAGTAATTCAAAAGTTTATTAAAGACGATTTTTTTAATTATTCTTGAACCTACTTCGAGTGTTTTTGAACCTATGGCTTCAATTTAATGAATTTTTGTAATTCAATCGAATTTAATAGGTCAATCTTCATGGATTCTCCTTTTGAAAGCTTCCGGTATGACTGGAAACCTAAAAGAAGGAATAAAAACAAGAATTTTGACCTTTTTCAGCAAAGTTCATTATCGACAAACCGTATTAGTCTATGTGCAGATCACTGCAATTCAGGTAACTTAGTTTGACTAGCTATATACAATTGCGGTAACTGCATCTTTGTAATCCTGTTTCATTTGAAATCCCTTAAAATGTAAGTGCTTTTATAGTACCAGTTTGATTTTTTTCTGTTCAAGTCTAAAGTGTATTGCGGTCAAGTGCTCAGTAATGATGCATGCTGATTAGGTACATCCGACTAAAGCTGACAAGCTGAAACAGTTCATCATTATATCAACGGTGCTTTGTACCATCTGCGGTGTTCTACCCTTTTATGGAAAATTTTGCCCGTTTTGATAACACTTTTTAAGTTAAAATTTTTAATTTGGCAATTGATGGAAGAGATCAAAATCTAGAAAGGGACTTAGGATTAAAAGTCATGACTGTTTGGAAAATGCGTACAAAATCAATTCAAATTCGTTTACAGAATAAGTCATACTAGAAGTTCCCAAACAGATTCATATACTAGAACGTTAGGAAGTGGGACACTGAATCTCTACTTACGGCACAAAATTAAAAATTTAACCGATGAAACCAGTTGTTTTCTTTTCGG